TTTCTGCTACCGGTTCTCCGAACTACTCAAAAATTCCACTACTGGTTCTCCAGAACCTGTCAGAACCTGCTGGATTTCACCCCTGGCTGGCCCGCATCACCACAAACATGCCAGCAGTTTGGGGAGTGGCCTCAAACTGCCACGGCCATAGTCGGCCACACATCCCATCCCCCCCAAGATCAGCCACAGCCCTGATGCGGCCCTCGATGAAATTGAGTTTGACACCCCTGGTCTAGAACAATGTTTCTCAACCTTGGGGACTTGGAGATTGGTGGACTTCAACTGCCAGATTTCCCCAGCCAACACGCCTGGCTGGAGAATTCTGGGAGTTGAAGTCCACCAATTTCCAAGTCCTCAAGGTTGAGAAACCCTGGCCTAGAAGTGAGTCGAGAAGTTTTTCTCCATCCCCATCTTATGAGTATGCTCTTTCTCACAAAACAGCCTAACCTTCTTGGAAGGAAATCTGGAGATTTGTTAAAGGAACGAGATCCAGCTCCCTCCCGCATTGGCCCCTTCTAAATCTAGCTCTTTCCCAATCTACTGGGTTCAGTCTGCAGGATACAGCTCCCAACTCTTAGCCTCTTATGGGCATTTGGCAACATGGCTGGGTTGTCAGGACTAATTCAGGACATAATTCAGATTATAACCTGCAATCCTCCAACTCAACTGTTGAGTTGATTCTCACTTCCTGGGAAGCTGGAAAGCAGAGCTTCAGAGTGGGCAGAAGGAAGAAAGGTTGAGCATCTTCTCCACCGTGTGCCAAAGCCTCTTGATTTGTATTTTGGGGAGAGGTTCTACAGGGAGTCCTTGATTTATGACCACAGTTGGGGCCAGAATTTCCTTGGCTAAGCAGGCAGTCATCCAATTTTAAGGCCCGCCCCTTTGCCACAGTTGTTAAGCAGATTACTACAGTTGGTGGTCGTTAAGTAAATCCAGCTTTCCCCCGTGATTTTGCTAGTTGGAAGCTGGCCAAGATGGCCACCATTGGTGATCACATGACCCTGGGATGCTGCAACTGTCATAAACACATGCCGATTGCTGATTCCCCCAAATGTTGATCATGTGACAGGAAGACGCTATGATGTCATCCATACAAGGACTGGTCAAAAGTCACTTTTTTTTTTCAAAGTTGTCATTTCGATCGGACGAAATGGTGATAAGTCAAGGACCACCTTCAATGGGTCCTGCAAATGGAGATGTCTCACCCCTCTTCCCCGAGCTAGATTTTTCTTCTTTCATCAAGAACCCATATCCGTCTTCTCCTCGCGTCATCTGAAGCTTCGTCACTTGGAAGGGAACCCAAGAGGCGTCGGCCAGGGCCGCTGTAACCTTAACACCGCATTGTCGGTACGCCTCTTCCGACCGGCTGTCGATCACCAGGAGCCCCATGGGACTGCTGCTCTGTCTGAGCTAAATCCGAATCGGAGCAAGAGAGAGAAAAGACAACGATGACCGATGACAATGACCAAATGTTGGCACAATTCAAAGGACTAGTTCTAGACAGGGTTGGAAAATTATTTGGCCATGAAGAGTGTCTTGGCAGCGTGACTATTATTATGAGATAAACCCAGGAGCGAAACACAGCCCACAACACACAGAGCCAATTAATAATGGTTTATATATACATATATACAGACATACACATGGTAGATAAATCGCTTACCACTCAGCTAGGGACACAAGGAGAGAAATGAAATACATGATGAGAGAGAGATGCCCTCTAATGGCCACCTATATATTACACCTCTTAAACGAGCAAAAGACTTGTGTGGACCCCACCAGAGTCTCAAACTGTCTATACCTGTAATGCTGATTCATCCCCCATTGCATCAGCTTACAGTTTACAGCTTACAACCTTACATCAGTTGGCAGCTATTAAATCCTCAGTACCTGACAAAGGGAGAAGGGGCTGAGCAAAAAAAAACAACCAGAGGAAGGATGGCCAGAGTAAAGTTTTGGGAGGGAAAGCACTCTCTTTAGCGTGACCCGACAAAAGCGCCCCAACAAAACCGCGTCACTAAAACCATGATGTCATCAACGCGCCGACAACAGCACATCGACAACAGCGCATCGACAGAAGGGCGATTTACAACAGCGCGTCGACAGAAGGGTGATTTAAGTTAAGGTAAGGGTTAGGGTTAGGTTTACAGCACCCTTCTGTCGGCACGCTGTTGTCGGCGCAATTCAGCGCTCATTCGTCGGCGCGGTTTAGAACTCGCGGTTTTGTCACCGCGGTTTAGTCGGGTGCGCTTTTGTCGGTGAACCTCTCTTTAGTCCAGAATAATTGACTTTGTCCAGCCAAGATAGAGGAATTACTCATTCCTTTCTGTGGTGCAGAGGAAACCAAGCAGAGGAAAGTTTTATGGAGTTGGAAGACCTTTCACAACCAGATACGGAGACCATGTGGCCCACAATACGTACGGGGTGATATCTCCAACTATGAGGGGAGAGTTGGTTCTACCCTGAGCTATGAGCCTCCTTTTGGTGGGGAATTCTAACCTCCATCAAAGAGGCAGGGTGAAATTGAACGCACGAGACTGGCAGCTAATCTCAAAGTATGTTGCGTTGCTAGAACCTTTTGGTTGAGTTGTGCAGTCGTCCAGTTCTTAACACTGACGCCATTGAGTTCCACCAGCCAGGAACCGTGAGGCACCCCTGCTTTTTGAGCCGGCCCATCCTGCAGCACGGAGAGCTGGAATACGCCGGTCACACCTGCACAGGAGGATCACAACATCGAGAGGAAGCCTTGTGAAGGAAGAGAATTTGCACCCTAGAAAACTAGGTAGAGGGAAGCTCCCTAGGTAGCTTCCCTCTACTAGGAAATCTGCTCTCAACCACCTTCTTCCTCTTCCTCTTTCTCTGGAACTCAATTCTTTAGCGGAGTAGAAGATCAAGTTGCAGAAATGTAAACAAAGGCCTTTAGTGAACTCTTGATTTACCCAACCTGGGCTTCCTTGAGCAAACCACAACTGGATGGATTTGCTCATCAGAGGGAGACAAATAAATCATGTTTTGTATGCTACAAAAACTGGGCTTTATTGCTGATTCCCCACCACGCTGTTCAATATATTGTAAAAATATATTACATGGTTTATTATGTACAATCTAACCATAGATTATATGGTGTAACCATACATAATACGAACATATAATACAATACGGTATAATATATATTGTTCAATATAATGTAGCCATACATATACTGTACATACACACACACTCACACACACGCCAGATGTTATATGGTTTTCTGCTTTTTGCTGTAAATCACCAAGTGTCTCTCTGAGATGATAAGGGGAGAACCTTAGAAATTGGATGGATGGATGGATGAGAGAGAGAGGTAGAGAGTGAGAGAGAGATGTAAATAGATGGAGGGAGATAGACAGATAGACATGCAAGGATAGATGGATGGATGGAGAGAGACATAGAAAGGTAGATGGATGGATGGATGGATGGATGGATGGATGAGAGAGAGAGGTAGAGAGAGAGAGATGTAAATAGATGGATGAGATAGACAGATAGACATGCAAGGATAGATGGATGGATGGAGATAGACGTAGAAAGGTAGATGGATGGATGGATGGATGGATGAGAGAGAGGTAGAGAGAGAGAGAGAGAGATGTAAATAGATAGATGGAGGGAGATAGACAGATAGACATGCAAGGATAGATGGATGGATGGAGATAAACGTAGAATAGATGGATGGATGGATGGATGGGAGAGAGGCAGAGAGAGAGAAAGAGAGAGAGAGAGAGATGTAAATAGATGGATGGAGATAGACAGATAGACATGCAAGGATAGATGGATGGATGGAGATAGACGTAGAAAGGTAGATGGATGGATGGATGGATGAGAGAGAGAGAGAGAGAGAGATGTAAATAGATGGATGGAGATAGACAGATAGACATGCAAGGATAGATGGATGGATGAAGATAGACGTAGAAAGGTAGATAGATGGATGGATGGATGGATGGATGGATGGATGGATGGATGGATGGATGGATGGATGGGGAGAGAGGGAAGTAGGTAGGTAGGTAGAGAGAGAGAGAGATGGATGATAGACAGACAGACAGACAGACATTCAAGACAGCTAATATAAGCAATAAGCAGAAGTGACTCCTGCCACTACCTTCTGGAGCTGACACGCTGAACCCCAAACCGCTGGAGCCCTTGGGAAGGCAGCACAGGCGTGGCCTGCCGTATCTGGACAAGAGTTGGTTGAGATCCTGGTTGAGGGCTTTGGCTACTTCGTAGGCGTTCCCATCCAGGAGAGTGAGTAGGACCTGTTTTGAGCTACTCTTGATCTTCCAGATCACCTGGAAATGAGACAAGAGAGGGGGGAGAGGGAGAGAGAGAGAGAGAGAGAGTGCAAATGTCAGCAACTGGAGAATCTATTCCAATATTTGATCCCAGCATTCTCGCCATGTACAACAGAGTTTGACAACCTCAATCACTTGTCAAGACATGTGGATTTCAACTCCACAAATTCTCCAGCCAGCCTTGAGCCAGTATGGTCACCATCTAGATCTGGGGTCTCCAATAAACAGTAACAGAGTTGGAAGGGATCTTGGAGGTCATCTAGTCCAAACACCATGCAGGGGAACTACACTAGGGATTCAAATCGCCGAACTATCAACCTTTCTGATCGACAAGCTCAGTGTTTTAGCCACTGAGCCACCTAGTCAGGCTCATCTAAACAGAAATATTGATTAACTCATCAAATCAGAAATATTGCCGTAGTCAACTTCATCCGTCTAGATCTGGGGTCTCCAAACGTGGCCGCTTTTAAGACTTGTGGGCTTCAACTCCCACATTCTGAGAGTGGAAGTCCACAAGTCTTAAAGTAGCCAGGTTTGGAGACCACGGATCTAGACCGATGAAGTTCACTTGATCGACAATATTTCTCAACCTTAAGCCACTTTAAGACACGTGGACTTCAACTCCCAGAATTCCCTGGCCAACACTGCATTGAACTCCGCACGTCTTCAAAGTGACCCCCAAGGTTGAGAAGCTGTTCGTTTGTGAGACTTTATTTAACTTTGTAAATGTGTGCCCAACGCCTGGGTCACTCGATATGCCCAGGCCATGCAGGAGTCAATCCATCAAAACCTTACCCGAAGATATCCCATGCCTTCAACGTTAACTCCGTTGACCTCAAGGATTCGGTCTCCATCCCGAAGGCCTTTACGGTAAGCCAGCCCTCCAGGTGTCACCTTCCGCACAACAGGGCACATCCCTCCGGCTTCCTGGCACAAGGAGAAGCCGAGGTTGTCACCGACTTCTTTCTTTAGTAAACAGAAACGTATCCGGGAAGCCCCTTCTGGCTCTGAGGAGGATAAAAAGGACATCTCTTTTCAAACTGGCTTATGAAATTCCACCGATCTTTCCTTAGAATAGAAGAACAGAGTTGGAAAGGACCTTGGAGGTCTTCTAGTCCAACCCCCTGCTTAGGCAGGAAACCCTACACCACTTCAGACGTTGGCTGAGGGGAGGGGGGTACCTGTCTATTGGGAAGACTGAATATGGAGAAAAAAGAGGAACAGCTCCCAAGATCTTTAAATCATGTAAAGGTAACGGGGGAGGCTATGTGTAAGCAGGGAATTCCACTGGGTCTTCCTTACTATTACTTCCTTACTCTAGGAGTCGTTATGTCTACTCCATACTCCTCCAAGGATGTAGCCATGAGGTAGCCATAACAACATTCTTTCTAGAAAGCCAAGGTCATCCTTTGTCTCTGCATCTCTGTACCTGACTGGAACTGGATGGGTGGAAGCTGCCAGCGTGGCAGTGGGAGATTGGACCATGGGATGGACTGGTGGGTGGGTGGGGGGCAAGATCTTGAACTTTCAACTGGGTGGGAAAACAGAGAAGACTTCAGATT